ACAATGAATGAGAAAAAAACATATAAGCAACATACATATGTGGAAAATAGAATTACACAATTTTACTCCATATGGAATGTAAAGCACAATATCATGGATACTGTTCATGTTTCACTTGATTGATCTTTCTTGCTGTATTAGTATACGTGTTATGATCATTCGCATGTTATGTCAAGATAATCTGTAGGCTCCATAAGGTTATACGAACCGACTAGTTTGATAAGATAAACTTGTATGAATTACTGTAGGGCTATAGGCCGCCGAACCGGCTGTATAGCTCCATAAGGTTATAGTGAAACCGAAGTGATAAGAAAAACTGTATGAAACTGGATGAATACTGTATGCTTGGCTGCTATGGCCCATATGTAATCATATCCACTCAACGGCCTTTAGCCGGAGTACCAAACTGTATGAAGTGCAGATCTGCTATCCTATGTCGCGACATGGTCTTATCTACATGGTTTCTCCCTAACCTCAATGGAGCATAATGTTGGTATAACACAATATCACATTAAGAGTTCATAAGTGATGTTCATAACTTCATAAATCATCATGTTTACTTGATTTCACATCATTTGTATGCTTTCATGTTGTTTGATCCATGTTCTAATGTTATATTTTTGTTTTAGCGCGAGTTACACTGAAGAGGTAAGTCGCGAGCGCGCTTTTGAAAGTCGCGAGCGTGAGAATGTCAAATGAGAGTCAGAGAGTTTCTGGCTCAAAGTCGCGACCGCGCAACCTTAGTCGCGAGCGCGAGACCAAGTCGCGAGCTCGTCTTCAAACCTCGCGAGCGCGAGATGTACCATTTGAGAGTCAGAGAGGTTTCTGGCTCAAGTCGCGACCGCGCAACACAAGTCGCGAGGCGACATGTGCATCCTGAGAGTCAGTGTGTTTCTGGCTGAAGTCACGACCGCGCAGCACAAGTCGCGAGCGCAAGATGAAGTTGCGAGCGCGCTTGTGTGATTCGCGAGCGCGAGATGCGCACATTGAGAGTCAGAGAGCTTCTGGCCAAAGTCGCGATCGCGCATGTGAAAGTCGCGAGCGCGAGTCGGCGCCGAGCGCGACTTGCTTTTCCAGCACCGGCGCGAGCGCGCGACGGTTTCCAGATTGTGCAGTCTGTGTTCTTTTTGGCCATAACTCTCAATATACAACTCCAATTTGAATGATCATTCAACAATAATCAACACATGATCTCATGAACAACACTCCATACAATTTTTCATGCAAAGAACATGGGAAAATAACAAGAGATATCAAACCTTGTTTTCAAAAGCTGGGACTCTGTTTCAACATAAACTCAATATTTACTTCATTTATTCACTTCCTCCCCTGTTTTCTCACCATTACCAGTCCTCCCACTCAACACGAAGCAATATTATCTCATTAACAACACACCACACAATTTCTCATGCAAAGATATTGATTAAACTAAAAGAGATAACACACCTTTACGCCAATAAGCTTAAGCTCTTCTTTTAGCTTCCTTCTACCTTTGGCTCACCTCTCTTGGATAGAATAGAAGTTGAATTAATGCTTAGCTCATAGATCACCAAATGAGTCAATATGAAAATTCAAGAAGTTTCCTTTGGCTCACCTCTCTTGGATAGAATAGAAGTTGAATTAATGCTTAGCTCCCATTAAAATCTTCCCCACCATTAAACGTGATGGAGAAAAGAAAGTTGATGAAGGAGATGAAGAAGATAAAGATGAAACATGTAGTGGAATGGAAGTCTCGGGAATACTCCAAAAATATCATGATTTTGTGTGTAAACCAAATGGTCCCTCAAGTGTCACTATGTCACAACTTAATTCCTAAGCTTTCTCTTTTAGTGCAAGTAAGTCCTAATCCTTATACTTTGATCTGTTTGTTTCCTTCAAGTAAGTCCACTTCTTTTCCTTATTTCAGTTTCCTCTTAGTTTCAATTAATCCCATTCTAGTTCCACTCTAGAATCTTATGGATTCGAACCGGAGTTTGGATCAGCCGCGACTCGCACTTTTCCTAAGCAAACGCCCGAGATTCAAGTAGAAAACCAATGGGATGTTTACAATCGTTAATAAGAGCAAAAGTCATGGTATGGTAGACCTACATAAAAAAAATTGCATACAACACCAGGTTATATTTTTCATAGTGATAATAACTTTTGGAAATCGAACTAGTTTGAATAAGAAATTAAGGATTTTTATTTTATGTTTTATTTATTATAAATGAATTGTTATTATTTTAAAATATTAATTGTGTTTACTATATTTAGTGTTGTAGTGTGTTCTAAGATAGGGATGTTGCTCTAACTTTTTAAAATTTCGTAATCTGATACGTTCACGTATCTCGTTGTTCCGTGTTCCGTGCACCTAGCTCTTGATATATGAGACTATTCTTTACACTAAGCTAATCAACCAAGATTTTTTTTATACTGATAAAATAATAGTTGTTTTTTTTTTTTATTTGTTTTGTTGTCATTGAAATAAGAAATTAAGTAAAATTAAGTATTTTTTTATTTTATGTTTATGATTTATTATAAATGATTGTTTATTTATTTGAAATGTTAATATATTACTTATTAGAGTACTATGTCTTAAACGTGTGAATGTTTTACCTTTTTCAGAAATTGTAGTATACGTACGTTCCAATATCGTGTCCTGTGTCCATGCTAACTCCTGGTATATAAGAGTGCTCCTTACATCAAGTTAATCAACCAATATTATTTTTATTACCAATAAAAATAAAGTTTTTTTTAATTTGCTTTTGTGTCATAGAAATAAGAAATTAAGTATTTTTTTTATTTTTTGTTTATGATTTATTGTAAATGATTATTTATTTATTTGAAATATTAATGTATTACTTATTTAATATACTATGTCCTAAGCGTGTATTTTTTTAAAATTGTCGTATCTTGTTTCCTTGCAACATAGCTCCTACTATACGAGACTACTCTATATACCGAGCTAATCAACCAAGGATTTTTTATTACCAATAAAAAATTAATTTTTTTTGTAATTTGTTTTTGTGTCATTGAAATAAGAAATTAAGTTTTTTTTTTATTTTGTGTTTATAATTTGTTATAAATGATTATATATTTATTTGAAATATTAATATATTACTTATCTAGTGTACTGTGTTACAAGCGTGTGAATGTCTTGCATTTTTTAAAAATTATCGTATTTTGTACATTCTTGTATCTCATGTCCTATGTTTGTGTAATTTAGCTCGTGGTATATAAAACTGCTCCATACACCAAGCTAATCAACTAAGTTTTTTTATTACCAATAAAAAGAAGTGTTTTTTTTTTTTAATTTGCTTTTGTGTCATAATTTTAATTTTACGTTTTTTTTTTTATTTTGTGATTTTACGTATTAATGTATGTTAATTTATTTTAAATATTTATGACTATATTATGACTCTACTCGTGGATACATATGTAAAAAAACCAAAAATTAATTCCGGCATTCTCGGATACTCAAAATCAAATCTGTATATGAGACTATCTTACACTTTTTATTACTAATAAAAAATAAAGTATTTTTAAATATTTTTTGTGTCATTGAAATAAGAAATTAAGTTTTTATTTTATTTTATGTTTATAATTTATTATAAATCATTGTTTATTTATTTGAATTATTAATGTATTACTTATTTAGTATAACGTGTCCTAAGTGTGTGGATGCCTTACTTTTTTAAAAATTATCGTATCCCATACGTTTCAATTTATAGTTTTTAAATTGCTTATATATTATTTATTTAATAGTAATATATTGTTTATTCACACTCTTTTTAAGCGTGGGGATTACTTATTAATTGTTTTATAAGAAGAAATAAATTTATGTTAATATATTAAATTAAATGCTAGAGATAATCTTTTTTATAGATATTATCCTGATAGAGGGATTATCTGAAAATATAAAACAAAATGGATTTCTTCTTACAATGTTTTACAATTGTGCTAAATTGTGTCGAATATCTAACATCTATCTTCCTATAACTCCAAAATAATACCAATGACAAATTGTTGCTACTTTACACTTGCTTTCCATACGAAGCAAACTACCTGTTTCTTTAATATAATTATATAGATAGATATTAGATTTTCCAATAGTGATAATAATTTTGAGAACTTTAATATATTATATGAAACTAAGATAATTAAGTGTTTTTATTTTATATTTATCTATTTATTACAAGTGGAAGTCTGATTTGTTTGATTATCCATATCCGTATGTTTTTTGTTCTCGTATCATGTTCTGCACCATCGCTTCTTGGATTATATTACGACCTGATCTCATACATCCAAGATAATCATTAAAATAGAAATTAAATAGTTTATTTTATAGTTTGGCGGCTTTGTATTTCTTTTATGTTAATTTTAATTTAAAACTAATTATAATTAAAATTAAAAAGTTAAGTATTTTTTTATTTTTTATTTTTTTTTATTTATCATAATCGTAGTTCCGGTATCTCGTGTTTCTGGTCCATGCATCTAGCTTTTGTTATATAAAACTTACCCATACATCAGGTAATTCATTAAAATAAGGAGAATTAAATAGTTTTTTATTTTTATAGTTTGGGTTATATTGCAATTTTTAATTTTATTTAAACTTAGATATATATTAAAAATAAAAATTAAGCATTGTTTTTTCATAATGTTTTTTATTTAATTATAAACTCATTGTTTAGTCATTTATTATTCATAATATTCCGTTACGTTTCGTATCTCGCTCTTATCCTGTGTCCGTGCAACTTAGCTCCTAGGGTATAATTAGGTATTTCTACTTTTATGGGCTTGAATTATTATGGCTTGAATTATTTGTATTTTAATTATAGTTTAATTTAATTTAATGCATTATCTTAATGAGATGTAACTAATAGATATTATCATGATAAAGACATTATCTAAAAATATAAAATAACTTATTTTCTTAATTACTGTCATTGCATCTTATCTTCTTACAATCGTACTAAATAATTGTTGTCATTCTCATATTTGACAATTTCAGACGCTTGCACTTGGCTTTCATATAATGCAAACTGCTTTGCTTTTATTTATATATATATATATATATAGATAGATATTCTTTCTCTGTTATTGCAATACAAAAGAGAAAGAGTTGGTAAAATCAATCCTCATTTTTATCTCTGTCACCACTCTAAATATATATCAATAATAGCTAGAATAAGAATTAAGGTCAGATGGATTGACCCATTCTTGTTTTGTAAGATTAGCCACTATATTTTTATCAAGATGGTAAGCTCTGGCCAAAAGTTGAAGATTAAGAGGAGATTAAGAGAAGCGAACATGCTCCACCGGTATTTGCTGCAGTTACCACTCCTGGATTTTGGATGTTTAAATGGCTGCTATAGGCGACTGGCAGGGGCTTTTTGGATTTTGACTGTTTAATGCTGCTATAGCGACTGCAGGGCTTTTACCAATATTGAACTGGAAGTGAATTAATCCAAATGGAAATACAAAAACATCTCCTGCTTTTAAAATTTTGACAAAAGCCTTATGATCAGGATTTCCTGTAATGAAACCAGCATAAAGAGTTCCTTCCAATACTGTTATGATTTCAGATGCTCGAGGGTGATGGTGTGGCGGGTTGACTCCGCCTGCTTCGAAGTCAATTCGAACAATGGATAGTGCTAATGTATTGAGTCCTGGTATTTCTTCTACTGTTAAAAGATTTGTACGGACTCCGAGTTGGTCTGATGTCGGCCTAGCAATATTAAGTCCAGTATGGTAAAAATCGTCTGCTGTTACATGCTCTGGATCCTTGCAGAATTTTCCATTTACGAATGCTGCACCAAAGATAAAATTGAAGTGATTATCTATTATTCATATAGTTAATTTAATTGATGGTGGAGCTGGAAATTTTAAACTTGAATAGACTAATATTCAAAAAGTAACATAAATATATTTTAATGGTATTGGAGTGGTCTCTAGCCAGGATTATAAGCTGCCAATTCAAGCAAATTTATGAAAAACAAAAAATAAAATAACATGAGGATATGAGTGTCGAATTTTAATCCCATGCGAGATTATACCAAGTTTACCTATCTTAATGTCTTCAAATTACCTCATTGAGAATTTTAATCCCATGTGACATTCTATTATCTTTTCGTTATCAAAACCTTTAAAACATAGATTAGGCTTTTCATTGTTATACAAAGAGATATCCGATGAATTTTATGTTAAAAATCAAATTTTAGACAGGTTAATAAATATGGATTAGTGATAACCCTAGGAACAATAACTCAAGTTTAAGGTTAATGTTCAAACTTTAAAAGTTCACTTTAGCTGCCTCTCCAATCGCAAGAATTCATTTGGTTGGTACGTTATTCACTGAAATTTGATTCTTGGTATCATACTCTATAAACAAAGATTTTGTTTCATATACAAAGATTAAACATAGAAAAAAAAAAGATGTATCACTCCTTGAAATCACAAATGTAATAAGTATTTTGGAATAAATTATTTTCTCAAACGTAATAAGTATTATGGAACGGAGTTAGTACTAGTTAAAAAAAAAAAAAGTAGTTATGCAGTTAAACTTGTGACATACCTAACGGAACAGAGCGAGTAATAGGAATACTAATAGTGATAAAAAGTATTAGTAGTAATAATAATAAGCTCGTATATATGACTACCTCCAGAGGAAGTATCATCGGTTGCCACACAGAAGTCTTGTAGAGGGCTAGGATCATAAGCAAGGGCGACTGACAAAGCCAAAGCCAAGATAGAAAGAGGTACGAGAAAATTAGCAATTCTCATTATTTTTTGGAATGTTTAGATATCGAGTAGGGTTTGATAAACAATGAATGGATGAGGTTTCAATGGTTGGGTACTAATTTATAGAAGAGGGTATCAGATGGTGGGTTTATTTAATTCCTTTTAAGGGAACAGGCGGTAGTTAAGGGAACAGGCGGTAGTATGTGGAAGGATTTATTACTCACAAAAATTGTGGCGATAAGCGTGCCTAAAGTATTTAATACTTTATACGTGCCTAAAGTATTTAATAAAAATGAAAATGAATAAATTTAATTACTCTCTCTCCTTTTATAGATCAATATTGATTTGATTTTTATCCATATATTTTCTTCTTTTAGAGTTTCAAACTTATTTATTACCAAACACAAAAGAAAATTCTATAAAGCAAATCTGTTTGTTAATGTTTTATACTTCTTGTATAATCTGGTACAGATTGCCAAATGAAACCTGAAACTTTTTTATGGAAGTTTCAGGTTCGAAAGGTTAATCTTTTTTTGCCAACCAAGTGCTTCGAGTTCAAGTCCTTTCGATGATAAGAGTTTTTATCAATTTAGTTAGCTATGAGGAAAGCTACCCCTGTAGTGGAACAAAAAAAAAAAAAATAATTAGAAGGGGCAAAAATTTTTTTCCAAAATTTAGAGAAAGCGATATCGAAAAAAATCACTCTGTTATAATAAAAGGTAGAATTTTCAATATTTTATAAGGTAAATTTCAAAAAAGAAAATCAAAATTAGGCGCCATTGACTACCTTTGTTGTGTAACCTGTAATGTCATTTCAGCTCATTAGCACTTCTAATAAATGAGAAAAGGTTAATCTTTTTTTCTTATGCGTAAATAAATTTTCACGTTTGGATTGAGATTGATATTCAAATAAAGCTCTATCAACAGTAACAATTTTAAATTTTAAATTCTTGAATTTATAGATAAAATTCACCTCGAGATGTAATGTATTAAGCTAATTTAAGCGCAAATCCGCAAAGTGATGAACAGAATTTTTAAAAACTTCAATAGCCACATTGATCGGTGAGTGATTCTATAAAAGACACAAATTTAAAAAGTTATTGAGATATTTTCTTTTTGTTCAATTTCAATAAAGACAGGATTTTTCCGCATCAATTCTCTTTCTATGCATCACTATGCATTCACTGGCAAGACTTTATTTTTTGGAAAGCTCTCTCCAAGGTTGCCTCCTCTTCCCCTCCTCTCTTCTCTTGGCAGGATTTTACGTTCACACAAAGCCAAGGACAATAAAAATCTACTTATCGAAAAGGAAACTATGCACCCAATCTACCATGACCGTGGCTAGTGCATAGTTTAGTGGGCAACAACTAATGCACTGTGGAAGCATTTCCCATGTGCTATCCCCAATTTAGATATAGTGAAAAAAACACAATTTCTTTCCTTTTACTCTGTGCTTTAGCGGTCCCTAATATATGGGACCACTTGGTATAGTCTTCTAATTCAACTTGTTATCAAAGTCTTTCCAGGCATTTTTTTTTTTTTTTTTTTTTTTTTTTTTTTTTTTTTTTTTTTTTTTTTTTTTTTGTGCAGGCTTCGGCTCCTGTGAGTCTTCGCACCTTCCACAGTCACCCTCAATGTCTTTCTTCCCTTTTGATATTGTTTGTGCCATTCAACTTGTTTTGGATGATGCCAATTATCATTCTTGAAACAACAAATGCAATTGTTCTTGCAAGGTCCCAAACTTTGGGGTTATGTTTCAGGTGGTATCACAAAACCAGTAACAACTGCCGCTGACTATGCCATCCGTATTTCTCATGAGAGTATTTAATAATTTCAAAAGAGAGTATTTAATAATTTCAAAAGAAAGATGAAATATTCTTTTCAATTTTCTAATACCAAAAAGCTATGCATGTATTTGTCTATCGGTTGAGAAAAATACAGAGATGCTACACTAAATTGCAATAATACATGATATGAAATGTAAAAACAACTCATGGTTTGACTAATTTGAATTCTGCGCCGGGCAGGCCCACAAAGGATGGCAAAGTGCTCAGTCCCGAGTGGTTTAAAAGGACTTCATATTTAGGGCTCGATTTCGAGACCTCTGATTAAAGGAAGAAGAAATCCCTGCCATCCCATTTCATCTCTCCCATAGAGAGTCTCTTGTTATTACAACGAAACTTTTCGGAAATGAACACAAATAACACAGAGTTGGCAAAAACCAATCGACATTTTATTTCTCTTTTAAAACTCTAAAATGAAGAAATCATATCAACGATAGTTAGAATAAGCATTAGTGTCAGATGGATTGACCCATTTTTGTTTTGTAAGATTGGTCACTATACTTCTATCAAGATGATAAGCTCTTGCCAGAAGATTCGCATTAAGAGAAGGAACAGCTCCAAAAATAGTATTTGCTGAAGTCACCACTCCTGGATTTTGACTACTTAATGCTGCTATAGCAACTGCAGGACTTCTACCAATATTAAACTGGAAATGAATTAATCCAAATGGAAAAACAAAAACATCTACCGTCTTTATACTCTTTGACAAAAGCCCTATGATCAGGATTTCCAGTAATGAAACCGGCATCTTCTTTGAATTGATTGTAGAGCAAGAACCTTTAAACTTGAATGGACTAACATTCAAAAATAGCATTAATTGATATTCAATGAATTTGTATAATTATACGAATTGATATTCAATGAATTTTAATACGAATTGATATTCAATGAATTTTATGTTACAAATTAAATTTTAGCCGTGTTAAATGTGGACTAGCTTACTTTAGGAATAATGAGTCAAACTATGCTCAAAATTTTAAGGTTAATGTTCAAACTTTAAAAGCTCAATCCTAGAAATTCATTTGGTTGGTAAGTAGTTTTAACTCTCTACCTTAATGTTAGGGCCGGTGATAAAAATAAAATTACGAGAATAATTACGTCAGTGGAAAAATTAATTGTGACACACAGATATTTACATGGTTCACCCCTAACTGTTTAGGGCTACGTCCATAGGATAAATTCTGAATTATTCTTCCACTATTAAAAATAGTAGGTTTACAGAGAGAGTAATACAAAAATAATGGCCTCAAAAGTGTTTCTCAAGAATACCCCAAATTATCTCACTATTTTTTTCTCTACCCTAGTTTTAGAACCCTTTCTAAAACTCTCTCTCTCTCTCTCTCTCTCTCTTTTTTCTCTTTAAATTGGAAAGCTTCAAAATATGTGAAGTCTAGTGGAAATTACGTGAAATATTTCTTCTTTCAACATTTTTTTTTCCAAACAAAGCAAAAAACACATTTTCTAGATGTTTTTATGGTTATTTTCATTAAAATTGATAAAATTGGAATATTAATGCTATTTGGATTTTTCAACAATAGCAATTTCATGTTTGGGTTGAGATTTGAGGGTGGTATTGATTAATTACACTCTTTTTAACAGAAGTGATTTTAGATTTTAAATCTCTAAACTTAATGCAGTTCACTTAAACTGATCCAACTTTCTATTAATAAAGGTTAATGCATTTCTGGAATATGAGCGTGTGACTTGTTCTAATTGATTCTATTGAGAGTATAGAGAGTGAGTCTATCATTTTGATAGAGATGATTTTTGCTGCTTCTTACATCAAAATGATAGATGAACAGTCATTTGATGAAAAATGATTTAAATGTTTTATTTCCTCTCAAAATAAGTATATAGATCCAATAAGTGATATTATTATAAAAATAAGTAATCATTTAAATTATTATTATTATTTTTTTCATTTGCCTTATATGCAAATACAACATTATCATAGAGATGGTAAACAAACTGCAAACACTTGTAAAATGAACTAGTGAGAGAGGCATATACCATATATGGCATAATACCATATATCCTCCTCACCCTTATTATTATTATTATAAGCTCAACATATACAATAATTCATAAAAGATTGTCATATAACAACCTTTTTAATTTTATTTATTCACTAGTAAATTAAAAAACCGCTGAAATTAAATTAACATCTCCAAAATTATAATCCATTTCATACTTAATAAGGATGAAGTAGAGTACAAGCTATTAAGGTCTTTTGATGGATTAACCCATTCATCTTTTTGGCAGTTTCAGTCAGCTAATTCCTTATCAATATGGAATGCTCTTGGCCAAAAGATCAGGATTAACTGCTGCACAGCTCCAAATATTGTAATTTGCTGATGTTACCACTCCTGGATTTTGACTGTTCAATGGCGCTAAAAGCAACTGCAGGAGTTTTGCCAATGTTCATTTGGAAGTGAATTGAAGCCGCAAATGGGGGAATACAAAAACATCTCCTGGCTTTAAAATCTTGGCGAAAAGCCGGTGATCGGGATTTGAAGTGATAAAACCAGCATATATGGTTCCTTCTAAGACAGTGATAATCTCTGCTGCTCGAGGATGGTTGTGAGGTGGGTTTACACCACCAGGTGAATAATCAATACGAACAATGGAGAGACCATTGGTGTTAAGGCCAGGAATCTCTTCTACTGTTAAGAGATTTGTGCGGATTCCAAGTTGTTTTGAGGTTTCTCTAGCGTTGTTAAGTCCAGAAAAGGAAAAGTCGTCGGCTGTTACGTGTTCTGGATCCTTGCAAAATTTTCCATTTACGAGTACTGCATGCACAAAATAAGATCAAAAGCCATGTTTAGCAATTATGCATTACAATCCATAGCATGAATAATGAGCTAATAAGACCTGCATAAATAAATCTGAAACTCTAGAAAGAAGTTAAATATACATACCGCCAGAGCTGTAGTCTTCCGTCGCCACACACAAGTCTTGAAGAGGACTAGGATCATAGGCAATGGCAAATGAGGAAGCCATAGCCAAAACACCAAGAGCTATAAGTAAATTAGCCATTTTCATTATTGCGCTTAAAGTTGTTCTTTATGTGTTATGAACTTGATTTTGGTAAGAGATGATGAGAAATATTGCATGGAATGCATGGCTATTTATAGATGAGGGTTTTAATTATAATTTATTACTCTTATTAGCAAGAGACAAGAGTTATTATTAATCAAAGTTGCGTAACCACTTCAAGGTATCCAAAAACAATCTCGTCCATTAATTATATTGATAAAGAACTGAAGAAACATTCGCCATAGATCTCATGACTATCTCATGACTAAGTTTCATCATCAACTACATTACCAAAATACCCCTAAATGACATAGATTCAATTATAGAAGTGTAAGCATGAAAACTACATGTAATGTGATCATCAATGTCTGTTTCCACCATGGTCACCAAACAAAAGTGAAGATCCAGCAAACAATAATAATAATACAGAAGTGTAACCATCAACCAAAATGAAGTACTCCAACAAATTTCAATGAATAAAAACATATCAAACAAATAGACCATTCCAAAAAACATAAGTATACATAAGAGGCAAACTCCCACTAAAATTAGACAGTCTCAAAACAAAACGATACCCATATGAGGCGGTGTGCTTCATGGAAAACTTTCGAGGAAAACTTTCGGTATCACTGCCTTTGTAAGCGGATCCGCAATCATAGAGTTTGTTCCAATATGCTCTAAGGATATCTGTCCACTCTGTACCCTCTCCTTCGTAGCCAAGAACTTAATGTCAATGTGTTTTGATCGAGAAGAGCTCCTGTTGTTGTTGGAGAATAAAACGACTGACCTGCTGTCACAATACAACTTCAGTGGTCTTTCTATTCCACCTACTACACGCAGCCCAGTGACAAGGTTTCTCAACCAAATAGCTTGATTGGATGCCTCATAAGATGCTACAAATTCAGCTTCCATGGTGGAGGTTGCTACATGGTGGAGGTTGCCACTAGAGTTTGTTTCACACTCTTCCAAGAAATAGCACCACCAGCCAATAGAAAAACATAGCCAGATGTGGATTTTCTTCTGTCTTGGCATCCAACGAAATCAGAATCAGTATACCCAATGATCTCAAGCTGATCTGATCTCCTATATGTGAGCATATGTCCCTTAGTCCTCTGAAGATATCTCATAACTCTTTTGGCTGCTTTCCAATAATCCATTCCTGGATTGCTAAGATATCTACCTAACATGCCAACTATAAAAGAAATGTCTGGACGAGTACAAACTTGAACATACATAAGACTTAAGACTTCCTATAGCTGACGTATAAGGAACCTTTTGCATTTCCTAAATTTCAAGTTCACTCTTTGGACATTGTTGATTACTAAATTTATCACCTTTTGCAATAGGGGTATCCAATGGTCTCTGCATTACTAAATCTCTGTTGAGCACTTTATCAATATAGCTCTTTTGTGATGAATCCAAGAATACCTCGAGAAGCGGGTCTCGATGTATCTGAATCCCTAAAACAAAAAAGCTTCACCTAAATTTTCATCTTCAAAATGCTTTGAAAGAAAAAAACTTTGGTTTCATGCAGCAAGACTTTAACCAGAATTAGTACAAGAAGTATGTCATTCCACATATAAGACCAAAAGATAAACCTTACTCCAAAACGTGAAACTTATGGTACACACAAATTTTCAACAAGCATTTGCCTTTGCCTCAAAGCCAAACGAGACAATTACTTAGTTGAACTTAAAGTACCATTGACGAGAAGCTCGCTTGAGTCCATAAATGGATTTCTTTAATTTGCATACCAGATGTTTTGGATCTCCAATTACAAAATTTTCTGGTTGCACCATATATATTGTTTCATCAATGTTGCCATTGAGAAACGTAGTCTTAACATCTATTTGATGAAGCTCAAGATCAAGATTTGCAACTAAGTCCATGATTGTCCTAAAAGAATCCTTCGAAGAAACTGGAGAGAAGGTTTCTTTATAGTCAGTCCCTTCCTTTTGAGTAAAGCCTTTTGCTACAAGACGTGCGTTATATCTTTCCACATTACCTTGAGAATCCCTTTTGGTTTTAAATATCCATTTGCAACCAATGGGTTTCTTTCCTTCAGGTAATTGAACAAGATCCCAATCCCAAACTTGCATTGTCTGCATAGACGTTATACTCTTCGTCATTGCCTCAATCCAAACTTAGCAGAGTCAGAACTTGCATGGCATGATAGAAACTACTGGATTCAGTCATCTATCGATGTCGTACAGTTATCCTCACTGTCCCTGAAAGAAACCACTATATAATCATCTGGGAAATAAACTTCTTCTCTCCCTAGTAGATCTCCTCAAAGGCATTTGAACAGACTCTAATTCTTGAGGTTGTTGAATTTGTTCTTAAGGAAGAATAGCATTGTCTGGAATTGGATCTTGAATAGTGACAGGAGCAACTGGAGTCTGTACGCTATCAGAAACAACAAAAGGAATGAGAACCGAATCATCCTTACTTGGTTCCTCTTTAAAGACAATGTTTCTTTCTTTATTTCTCCCTCCAAAATCAACATCCTCAAAAAATGTTGCAATTCTCGTTTCAAAAAAAAGTTCTGGAAGTAGGATTATAAAACTTGTAACCCCTAGACCCGCCTCAGAATATCCAACCAAAGTAGCTGCTGATTTAGTTTTGGAGTCCAGTTTGTTCATTCGGCTTGTAAGGCCTTGTGCGGCTGGACATCCCCAAACATGAAGATGCTTTTAGGGACTAGGCTTACGTGGTCCAGGCCAAATTCATAAGGTGTTTTATTGCAACTTGCTTAGAATGGAATCCAATATTGAGAAGATAAGCTGCTGTTCTTTAACGCTTCACCCCACAGAGACCTGGTTAAGTGTAGACTCTCTCACATTACCATATCCATAAGAGCATAAGAGTCCTATTACGTCTCTCAGATACACCATTCATGCTGGGAGTACCAGGCATTGTATATTGAGGGACAATTCCACATTCCTGTAGGAAAAGCGAAAAGGTCCTGGACGTTGTTCGCCTGAACCGTCATATTTACCATAATATTCACCACCACGGTCAGATCGAACAGATTTAATCTTCTCTCCCAGTTGATTTTCAACTTCAGCTTTATAAGATTTAAACACGTCCAAAGACTCAGATTTTTCATGAATGAGATATAAGTAACCATAAAGAGAATAGTCATCAATGAATGATATAAAATATCTTTGGCCATTTCTAGCTGCAATGGACCGCAAATATCTGTATGAATCAATTCTAAAACATTGGATGATGTATGACCGAATGGCACCTAGTCTTTTTTATTTAGTCTGTTTTCCTTTAATACACTCAATACAAGAATCCAAAACTGTGTAATCAAGTGTATCTAAGATACCATCAGAAACAAGACGCTCAATTCTTGATTTGGATACATGACCCAAACGTCTATGCCAAAGTACAGCTGTACAACTGAGTTATCAATATTCAATTTTCTTTTGGTACCTCTTGTAGTAACATGCAGGGATTCATGATAACTAGTATCAATGTCTAACATATATAGATTATCACATTCATTCAAGCAACCAGATTCAAGCAACCAGTACTCAAAACTTTTGAATTCATAGATAAAGTGAATACACTGTCTCCAAAAGAACAATGAAAACCAGATTTGTCCAAACAGGAAACAGAAATCAAATTCCTTCTAAAAGAGGGAATAACAAAAGTATCTATAAGATCCAAAAAATAGCCAGTACTTCCTCTACTTCAACCGGATCGCCATTTCCCACATAGACGTATCTTTCACCGTCAGTTGGCTTTCTATAGTTGAGGCAGCCCTGCAATGAAACACTTATATGAGCGGTAGCACCAAAATCCATCCAATAAGTGTTTTTAGGTCCATCCAATAAGTGTTTTTAGGAGCTGAAGTTAAATTAACTTCACAAATTAACTTCATAACAGACTAAAACAAGGTACTTGCCCCTCTTTGCAAGCCAAATAGCAAATTTAGGACAGTCCTTTCTCAAGTGATCCGTAATGCGACCCTAGCTAATTAACAAGTACTCTTGCAAATCAACAAGGAAATCTAGCGGAAAGCATGCAATCACGGAAGTACGCGTCAATCCCTTTAACCCCCAAGTACTCTTGAAGAGACAAAAACAAGGAATTTAGAACAAGAATCAGAAACTTACCTTCAAGTACTCTTGAAAACAACTCTGAAATTCTTGGCGCAATTAATCTTGTAGAACTCACTGAGAAATGAGCTCGTTAAGAGTCCATTTTCGGCTGACAATTATAGGAAGTCCTAATTTGTCCATACTGAGAAGGAAGAGAATTCATAACCAAATGGACTAAAAGGTCATCTGGTAAAGCCATACCCAGCACCTTCAGTCTCTTTGCAATCTGAGACATGCTAAGAATATGCTCCCGAGCACCACCATTGCCAGCAAACTTCATGGAGGTTAATTTTCCTAAAAGTGTTCTCACTTCGGCTTTGTCATTCTTGACATAAGCCCTCTCCAGCTCGGCAAGATAGTTTTGAGCATTGTTCTTTTCAGCTGAGACAGAGTCTCGAACAACAGAGTCTCGAACATGTTCTGGGACTCCTTTCTGCATGATCATCAGACCTAAGCGATTAGAACGCTCCCACTTCTCATACTGAACCCTTTCGCTTCTCATACTGAACCCTTTGAACATCAGTGCTCGTAGCAGTAAGAGGAGCAGGTTCGTCCATCCTCAATGCAAGATCCAAATCCATACAGCCCACAAAAATCATAATGTCTGATTTCCAAGACTCAAAATTTGATCCCTCAAGTTTAGGGACACAATCAGGATTAAATGACATGTTAGCTGACAGCAGAGAAAATAAACGAATAGATAAGTATAAGCTCACAATTCACAAATGAAACAATTCACATAAGTAGAGATCAAAAATGGAAATAAGATACAGACACAACATTAATATTCTCACATTAAGTCAACCAGTTTGTAACGTCTCGGCTCGATTTATTCGGGTTTATGGGTGGACCGGGAAGGGATGTTACACATAGTCCTGACAAATAATAAATCTTCCTTTGGGCCGATATATCATTGTCATGGAAAATAATCAACAATTATCACATACTTATTGCCAAACATGTGTTTAAAACTCAGCCAAATAGCAACCTTCCTTTAGGCCGATTAACTATCCGCAACGAATTCTAGTACACCTGTCTAATACTCTAAAATAAATCAATTCAAGGAATAGAGGTCACTTTGGTGACTTATTGATCAAATCAATTTATTTTGATCAATACCTAACCCTTAATGATGCCCTAGTGTACTGCTACACCAAACAGATACTGAAAGGTTTGAAGTATCTACATGAACGAAATTTCATCCACGGAAACATGAAATGTGCAAACATTCTGTTGACAAACAATGGAGGCCTGAAAATTGCAGATTTTGGATTGACAAATTTACAGAACCTCCTCAAGGCAGGCAGAGGGATTCCGGCCTGGTCCGCTCCTGAGTTCATTGATACGAAAAGACAAGGAGAATATGGACTAACTAAAGCTGATATATGGAGCCTTGGCTGCACTGTCTTGGAGATGTTAACCGAAAAACTTCCATACTCCGGTTTAGAAACTTGGTCGATATGGTATCGGATCGGACAAGGTATTCCACCTTCTATTTCCGATTCTCTCTCTGATAATTCTCGGAACTTTATCCAGAAATGCCTACAAGTTAATCTAAAGGAACGTCCAACTGCTTCCCAGCTTTTAGAGCATCACCTTAAAACCAAAACTACCAGAGACGGAAAAAAAAAATAACAGGCAGCCAACACCAAAGTTCCAACCGACTCTCTCCACCTGCCATTCCAGCCCGTTTCAGCCGCCAACACCACCAGTTCCAACCGAAGACAAGCTCCAGTCGCATTGGACGGTGAACAGCAGCCAAGGGAGTCAAAACCGGTGTTGAAATCACAAATCTCTAAACTGCAATTTCAAAACAAATCTGCCGGCAACAATGGAGGTTTTCAGGTTTTTTTTTTTTTTTTAAACAAAATCCGACCAGCAAAAAAACAAAATACCAAACGAACAATTAATCGTCAATGGCGTTAGTTCAAAACCTCTTACCTGTTCTTCGAATTCCCCAAGAGCAGTGAGAACAAAAAATTTATTAACAAAACCCTCAATTTCGTGAAACAATAGGGAAATCAAAAAAAAAAAAACCAATTACAAAAAATAATTTAATCTAGAATTATGCACAAGGCTCTGATAACCACTTGTTATGAATTAATCTCAAAAAATAATTCCATAATAACCTAGATCATGCAAATTACTAGATTCACCAAATAGATTTTGAATAAAAAAAAAAAGGTTGCGTAGCCTTGACATGTTGTGGTCGATCTTTGATGTGTAGAATTAGGTTTTGCAGCCTTCCAGAGAATTAAAGAATCGATTTAGCGGAAGCAGTACGAAAGGAACGTAACTGAATCGTTTGAACTCCTTCTGGGGACCACGACTTTATATCCTGTAGCGTTACGTACAATCCTATTGTCGGTCCTTTAATCGAATAGAAATTATAATAATGGTCTCTAACACTTAATATCCTATAATCCAGTTTGATAACCCTCATGTCCAATTATTCACATCAAGACCACATTTAAAATTGACTTTACAATTAGACTGCTGTAGCCATATTTTTTTCATATTAAGCCCAATTAGACTGCTGTACATATTTAATTTTACATATTAAGCCCACAATAGAAAAATAAATCCAACATTAAGGCCAGGAATCTCTTCTACTGTTAAGAGATTTGTGCGGATTCCAAGTTGTTTTGAGGTTTCTCTAGCGTTGTTAAGTCCAGAAAAAGAAAAGTCGTCAGCTGTTACATGTTCTGGATCCTTGCAAAATTTTCCATTTACGAATACTGCATGCACAAAATAAGATCAAAAGTCATGTTTAGCAATTATGCATTACAATCCATAGCATGAATAATGAGCTAATAAGACATGCATAAAATAAATCTGAAACTCTAGAAAGAAATTAAATATACATATCGCCAGAGCTGTGGTCTTCCGTCGCGACACACAAGTCCTGAAGAGGACTAGGATCATAGGCAATGACAAATGAGGAAGCCATAGCCAAAACACCAAGAGCTATAAGTAAATTAGCCATTTTCATGACTGTGCTTAAAGTTGTTCTTTATGTGTTATGAACTTGGTTTTGGTAAGAGATGATGAGAAATATTGCATGGAATGCATGGCTATTTATAGACGATGGTTTTAATTATAATTTATTACTCTTATTAGCAAGAGACGAGTTATTATTAATCGAAGTTGCGTAACTATTTATATTTCCACAAGTAGAATGGTTATTGTTTTGTTTTCCAATTTCAATAAAGACCATAGAATTTTGATTTTGCATAGAAAATAGCAAATTTTGTATTTTCTTTCTGTTTAATATAGATACATTTTTTTGACACGTAATTATCAAATTACTTTGTCCAGCCACTATAGTTCCTCAAAATTTTTTTTATTCAAACTAAATGTTCTTCTTCAAAATTGCTACAATATAATAATTGTATTTTAGTAAATTTCCCATTTTGAATAAAAAATAATTTGATTTATATTTTGATGTGCTATAATGTTTTCAATTCCAAAATGATAGATAAAATCTAAATTTGTAGTTAGACCATGAATTTTAATAATATTGAGATTGTGTTTCGAATTACTACTAATATTTTTGTATAATAATATATAATAATAATATAATAATAATAATAATATAACAATCGATTAACTATTATTCAAGCTGGAACTCCTAAATTGAAATGAACTAAATTGAAATAAAAATGATCTCATAATCTAATGATCTCAACTAATAAATTAATCAAGATTTTCTTCAAAATTGGTATAATTTTAATTTTATTGCTGCTGCAACTAATAATCTATCCAAAAATGACCCACGTGGCTATCCTCTTTATTGAAAATGATATGCTTCAAGTGTAATTGAATTAATTGGTCATATATTTATTGATATCAAAACAAAAAAAAATAGATAAATGAGATTTTACGTTCGAGTCATGTTTAGCAAAATTAACTATTTTATTAATTATTAGATGTTTCAAACTCTAAATATTAATATAAAAATCAAAATCATGCTACTGAATCCTATAAATAATAGAGTTAATCAAAGCATTAAAAGTTACGGAACTTAGTCTAGACGAGAAAAAAAGAAAACTTTGTATTTAAACATAATGGGTTTTTAGTGTTGTATTAGAACCAACCTTAAAAAATATACTTCTTATGTCCAAAACTAAGGATGTCCCAATCATTGCAGTTTTCTTTGACTACTGATTATACTAAAAATGCAAACGTTACTATCCAATTTGCCTGCCTGATTCATTGAACGAAAGGTTTTAGTAATGAGCCAGCACTTTAAGGCTTTCTAGGTTCTAAACTGAGATTAAAACTGATTTCTAAGTTTCAATCAGAAATGGCTAGTTGATTTTGATTTCAATTATTGTTCGCCTCTGTTTTTTTTTTCTTTATTTTTTTTTTCAATTTGGGATTGAAATCGAATATCTGGTTCTTGATTGTCTCTCTTTATGAATGTTTTTCTAGATCGAATTTCTTGAATTTACGAAAATTATTGAAAAAAAAGGATCGATAAATTTCAGATTTCGATTAAATGTTTCAGATTCTGTAAAAAATCAGTGGCTTCGATTTAATGGAGGCTCAAAATGAGGAACTTCCTCATGTATTCCAGAAAAGTTTGTTTTAATTACAACAATAGTTTAGCTATATATACTACTAGAGATAGCGTAGCAAGTAAAACCTAAAAGCTATCCTGACCCCTTGATTAACAGAAAAGAATAATACAAGATAATTCCTAAAGATGTGCTAGCTGTAATTTAATAATTTATTTGTAACCAGTAAGATGCTAACAGAGCATGTACTGGTATTGATGAGCTGTATCAACTAAAATAAGTCAAAGTAAGATGGAAAATTGATGATTTGGCATTGTAGTTATTTAGAAAGAAGAAAAAGATGAGTGATGTTGGTATATTTTTCACACCCCCTTCAAGATGGAGTTGGGGAGAAATCTGCCAAACCCATCTTGGAGGGAATGTGGTTAAATAAAGGAGAATGGAGGGTTTTAGTGAGGATGTCAGCTATTTGATTTTTAGTGTTTATGTGAGTAGGAAGGATAAATCCAGCTTGTAACTGATTCCTCATAAGATGGCAATCAATATCAATATGTTTGATTCTCTCATGGAAAACAGGATTTTGGGCAATGTGTAAAGCAGTACTGTTATCACAATATAAGGGTATGGGAAGGGGAGAGTTAATGGAATCTGGAGGTCTTTTAAGATGTATGAAAGCCATATTAATTCACAAACAATAACTACTAAAGCTCTATACTCTGATTCTGCAGAGCTTCTGCTGACAGTGCTTTGTTTCTTTAATTTCCAAGAGATCAAAGCATTTCCAAGAAAGATACAATATCCAGTTGTTGATTTTCTGGTCAGTGGGCATGATGCCCAATCAGCATCACAGTATGCAGTTCACTTGAAATCATTGTCAGCATCACAGTATGCAGTTAACTTGAAATCATTGGTTGCAGGGAAGAACAAGCCTTTTGAAGGAGTACCTTTCAAGTATTTCAAGACATGCAATGCTGCTTTGTAGTGTTGCTCACAAGGTCTTTGCATAAATTGGCTAAGCTGTTGCACTGCATGTGTTATGTCAAGTCTAGTTAAATTCAGATATAGCAGCCTCCCAATTATTCTTCTATATTGTTCAACATCTTCAAGGTAAGGTCCCATTTCTATAGTTAATTTGAGTCCTTGAATTGCTGGAGTATTGACTGTTTTTGCATTTGAAAGTCCTGCATCATGAATCATGTCCAGAATATATTTGTGGGAGTGACTATAATCCCATGTTCTGACCTTGCCCTATTTCCAAACCAAGGAAATATTTTGCAATGGCCTAAGTCTTTAATGACTGAAAACTCTTTATGAAGCGAAGAACTATAACTTCTCCTATAAGAAAACTCTTTTCACTTGCCTAAAGCAATCACACATTAAAACTTAACAGCATTATAAGTTTGAACCTGTGCCTGTTTGTAAACAAAACAAATGATCATTAAAAAAAATCATGGATTGGTAAAAATCCAAACTGATTGAGCTTTTCTGTTCAGCCTCTTTTGTCCACTGCCTACCAGCCTGTTTAAGGCCATTAGATGATTTTTTGAGGCTTTGCCAAACCTGTCCATTGTTCAGACCATTGTTATAGCAGGCGGGAAGGTGTCATATTTACAATTCTTCATCCAAGGATCCATGCAATATTGCGATTTATTAAATGTCTAATTGCCAAGATGGGCCAATTATATGCAGTGCTGCCTATAGACAAAAACAATCTGACAGTCACAAGTTTAGCTACTGGTGAGAAATTCTTCAGTATAATGAAGCCCTTAGCTGCTGTCAATATCCCTTTGCTTTACAAGCCTTGCCCTGTACCTATCCCACCTCCTCCCATTTGGTTTATATTTAATCCTATAAACCCATTTACATCCAATTACTCTTTTTCCCTTTTGGCCAAGAAGTAACAGTCCAGGTTTTTGTTTATTTTCTTAATGCCCCAGTTATCCCATTTGCATAGCTTTAATCCAATTTTGATCATTATCTTTGTTTTTGCCTATTGTAAGTTGATAGTTCATGGAGTTGTTGAATCTGTTTTTTGGAAGTTGTATAGTAGGCCGCCAGATAAGGGTGAATTTGAGAAAAGTGTATCAAATGGTAAATCTGCATGTTGAGGTAGATTCTGCCATTTAGAGTTTCATCATTGCTATTGTTTTAACAAATTGAAACATAATCTTGCATCCAGACTGGCTCTTATTTAATTAGTTCTAGTTGACCTCCTAGGTATTTCATTTCTGTAAATTGACATATCAGAGCTACTGTTTTCAAAGGAATTTATGACAGCGAAAACATGGGTTCTAATTGGTTATTGAGTATTGGCTTCAGTCTGGTCTATTTGGTGTTTTCAGTTGTTTCTGGTTGTGGGTTTTGAAATTGCGGCCCTCAGGTGTTTTGGTGCTTGGTCTGTGCATAAAGGTTTTGGGTGATATCAATGTTTGGTTGCGCCTAAAGCGACAGTCATTGGCTTCAATGGAGAATGTCCTTTTCACGACCCGATTTCATGGGCCGCGGACCGGCCACTAGGGCCCAGGTAAGCCCCTTAAGGCCCACCGAGGCCGTAGTAAGCCTGAAACACTAGAATTCTATTATCTCGGTATAAATTCCACATTCAAGCCCATATGATTATTAAAATAAACTCAACATATTTTTATTATTTTCTCGGCCAAGTTTATCTTCTACAGCATTCCATAGTTCGGCGCCCCAATTTACAATACATTCACATTCTAATATGGGCTTAACAGAATTATTGTCTATGTTAATATACGAACTAAGCATATGAAAATTCCTACAACTGCGGAGTCACTAACTCTTTGGTTATACATAGTCTTGGTATACACATAATTTAACATAGTAAAATAATTATGAGACTAGGAAAAATTTCTCTATTGCCTTGCGCCTAAGCGACATAAACCTTAAATCGGATTAAAGAAAAACATTACTTTTCCTGAAACATCAAACAAAACATGTGAGGTTTTTCTAAGCGAAGTAATAATTATTGCACAACACAAACGCAGTCACATAAATGTGTAAACATGTCATCTAGTCATCCATGACAACACCGCCAACTAGTTATTATTGCTCACGCAGCAGCCATCTCACAAATGGCCCCAAATCTACCAGCACTCACAATTCTATTAACATCTTTCATTATTCACATCACGTGAAATTGGTCTGTGCGTCCACCGAAACCCCGATTGAGCCGCTCCTCTCCGCATGGCCTATCCTCTCATAACGTGTGCCACCAGGGAGCGATCCCCATACTGGAGCCGACCCGGTCTAATCCTCACTTGACCAGCCCTCTCATTGTTTTTTCCATTCTCTCTTCTCTTTTCCATACCAACAGGAGGCAACCCGGTCCGTCTCCATCAAATTCTAGATTATCAGGTGCCCCCCAATAAAGAAGCCAACCTGTGCGTGTTCCATATCATACAAATTCACAACAGGTAGGTTTACACGACGGGGGCGCCCGATCTCCCATTTACCCGGCGACGGTCCCAACCGTCCTCACAAAACCCATGGTTGACCCCACTTCATTCCAACTCTCACACCAAACAAAGCCCATAGCAATAAACACAACACAATTAATCAAATATTGCCCCCAATTAAGAGCAGAACATATTGCATCAGTGGAACAACCGTTAATGCATGCCACAACTAGAAACCATTCTCAAGGTGCCCAATTAAAATAAATAAATAAATACATATTAAGGAATAAACAAAACCATAAAATAAATTTATAATAATGGAAATAAATAAATAATTGAATAATTCAATGATAATAATGAAAATAATTAAAAAATTTAGAGCATCTCTATTTAATTATTTATTAAGTTATAGAATAATCTTTAAATTTAAACTTATTAACTTATGTCTATACTTAAAAACTAGTCTAGTTCTATCGAGAATTTCGCGGCAGCACCTCCCTAAAATATAGACTATCTACCTTGCTCAATATCGCCCAATATTATATATATTTTATCAATTCAATGTACACAGCCCATCCGTCGGCGGCAATCAACAATTTTAAGCGTCCCATTCTCCTTTCAGTACAAGTATGTCAACGTTTCACTAAATAAATCTACAAATTATAATAACCTCCAACATGTTCCAATGATTTTATTAATTGTCCCTCTAACTAATAATCAAATTAAATGTACACTTTATAAATAAAAACTTGCGTCAGCATAAGCTTTAAAATTCTAAAACTAGCCACTTAAAAATCAATGTCTAACCTAAATAAAAATTCAATATATATATGTATATTTCTACGTATAGTTATATCTAAAAAGGGCCACCCGTTACCTGAATAGACCTGCCTGCCCCACCAAGGAGAAATAGCTTCAACTTTGACTTAAACTTATAATACAGTAAACAAACTAACTTCATTTTTCAGGTCAAATTTAAACTTAACAACAAACATATAATTCATATCAAAGCCCAAAAAAACTCAGGGAAAAAGCCCTGAAATGGTCGCTGCCATCTAAAAGTTTTCTAACTTCTTTCGCCAAACCTGCCCTTAAACTAAATAATTGATTCATATAGGTTAAGAACTTCAGTGTCTTATAGTTCAATTAAAGCTTCATTTTCCTCCATTTTGGCCATACCTCTACCATTTCCATTTTAATTAAAGCCAAATCCTGATCAAATTGTTTATTAGCCAAGAATAATTATTATCGAGTACTAACTGTCCTTAGCCTCAATTATTAGTAATTATAATTGTTGTAAAATTGATGCTATGCTATACTTAGGAATTATACTACAATTTAGTACATTTATATTATTAGCTAGCCCAATGCTCTCTTAAAAATTCTAAGTTACATGTATAGATATAGTTAGATTTCTCATTCCTTAGACTAAAAGCTGCTTAACCATAATAACCCACTCAACTCATCAAGAAACTTCAAATAAATTAATTCCTAAGTAGCTAATGCTTAATATAATTCCTGAGCAAAACAAGTGCATTAGCTAGAACATGTACGTTCCTATAGCCATATTTATTTAATTACATAATACCCCTTTAAATAAAATTTGAAGGATCTATAAACATATTATAAATGCCCGTTTAGAAATTAATTACCTAGCTTAAACAATTAGCGTCGTAAAAATGAATTTTCCGGTTTAGGATGACCCGGCAAACAGCTGCCCACAGCCTATACTACATTTGCCCCCTGCCGGAGTTGAGCGAAGACGGTAGCTTGGTGGAGTCGCCAAAGGTGCTACGAAGGTTGTAACCAGCCAGCCCTTGACTGGTTTCGCCGCGAAATAGCAAAGAAGTCGCGAGTCGACTGCTCCCGATCGCCTAAGACCGCACTCGCCAGCTCCTTAATTTGCTACGCTAGCCTGAGACAACAGAGGTGATGCGGAGAAAAAGAGCGGCCACTGGGACGGCGGCGGGAGGCGATGGGAAAAGCGCTGGCCTTCAGCGTGACCGAGAAAAAGAAAAGCAAAAAGGGGAGGCGGAGCGGGGGTCGCGCCCATTGGCGCTGGCGTCAAGGAAGTAGAAGCGGAAAAAGAAAAAAGAAAAAGAAAAAAAAAAAAAAGAAAAGAAAAGAAAAAATCTTGGGCTTCTAGACCATTCCGGCTCGATTTGAAACCGGTTTGGTTAATCAATTATTCGCGGCTCGATTTTGGTTTCGGTCTGCCAAGTTTTTTTCACTTGGTTTTCATATCGTTCGTGTGGTTTTTCGAAAAATCCAATTCCGGCGTTTCGGGTCCGGTTCATTAATTTTAATTTATTTTAATTAGCTTTCATAACATTCCTCCATTAACTAATTAAAATAAATATAATTAGTAATTCATTAATTGATTTTTAGGAAAAATTAATTTATCATATGATACAATAATATATCATTGCTGCGACTTTCATTTTATTATTCGAAAAATAACGTTTTCTCATTTAAAATTTTCGACATTATATTTGGGCTTGCGGCCCCCAATTTGCCAAAAACTTGACTTCAAATTAAAAATTGTTTCATTATTTACGGCCCA